CTGCATTTTTTTAGGATCCTTTAGTTTGACTTCTAAGGGTTTTGACTTGACTGCACGGTTGATGCGGTGGCTGGGCAACGTGTCGCGGGTTCGATTCCCGCACGGAATAACACTTTGTGTGATCCACTAATTGTTGCTTCGGGTCCGGGTATGATGTGTAGGTGAAATTGTGTGTAAACGCACCCACGACACAGGAGAAAATCCTAGTGTGGGGCAACGTTTTTAAAAAAAAAAAGATAAATCAAGAGAGAATGGGTTATTTGGGTAGTTAGATAGAACATTGAATAAGTAATGAATATAAATTATTTTACATATTTATAATATTACTTCATATACCGATGGTAATAACAACGGAACCAAATTAACTTGTCTTGATGACAAAAACAACTGATGTTTTCCTTGATTTTCCTCTGATTTCTCAACGCTATTTTAATTTTCAATTTACTCGATGTTTCTAGTTACCTATGTAAATAGAATTGCCCAATGCATTGAAATCGATGCGTTTAAAATGTTCTTACGTAGATGTGGTTTATATGAATATATTAGAGGTACAATAGATTCGTAATAAAGAGGTTGCAACTGTATGGTTACATAACATAACATCACGGCTTTTATACCCGAAGGGGTAGGCATAGCATATTATGCCATTGTACAATGTAACACTCACTTTTCACTATTTATGTTATGAGTCCCATGTAATAGGGGGTGAGCCTATTGCCATATACCGGGCACAATTCCAGACTCCGTGCTATTACTGAGGATTTTTAAAAAAAAACCCAATAATACTTTGCCCGACCCGGGAATCGAACCCGAGACCCCATGCCCGGCAGTCCTTGCGATTGCGACCACTCGGCCAACGAGGCTGTATAGTTACTAATTGCATTATGCAATGTGTTGCCTAACAGTTTTTCCTGTATTACCTGCGTTTGATAGGTACCCATTTTATGTAGGTAATTGATTTATGATTTACGTACAATTTTGATGTGATATGTTAATTTTATCCTTAATTCACATTTAACCTCTTTTCTGTTAGTTGAATTTTGGTTGATGCTTCTGCGGTTTTTATAGGGCGTACAAGCTTTTAGACTTTATATCACATCAATAGGCCACTTATAGAAAGTGGCCACTGCTGACCTCGGCCTCTTCTCGCACGGAGAAGAAGCATAAATCCCCACTTGCTTGCTCAATGCAATTTTAAACTTACAATTAGAAATTATAAGTCCAAGTTTCCTTATGATGTTTTCCTTCAAAGTTTGGCAGTGATTTCTAAATAATCTTAGAAAGTACATATTATAAATCGGAAAAAGTCACATTGGTAGGTTTCGGACCCGTACCCTTGAGACTTCATTATGTAATAATTATGATCCTTTTTTGTCTTTAATTTGGTTTATTTCCAAAGGACCGAAGGTAGGCAGAGGAAATGCAGCTTACAGAGATTTCAACCGATGATCAGACGATAAGATCCGACAGCCAAAATCCCCTACACTTACCACATTTTCGTTTCCCAAGATGATTGAAAGTAAAGCTCTTAATTTTTATGACTTATATGTAAATGGATTTTCAGCGCGTTGTTAACAATGCGATATACAAATAACAGAACAATGGACCGGCTCACACCTGCTTGCGATAGGGTTATAAGTTTTATAAACATTGCCTTGTTGAAAGTTAAAAAAAAGTAAAACGGTGTAAAGGCAATGATGGAAAAAATGAATCGAGTTCTTAATAGATTGTTGGTGTAAATGATTTCTGTTGTAGTATTTTGGTTGTTTGTTCATACAAAACAGAGGCGAGTTAGTACGAGTTTCATTTACGTTTAAAGTATTTGTAACGAGTACGCGTTCGGCACTCCTGATTGGCCGGCGCCATTGAAGCAACTAATCAGAGCGCCGAACGCGTACTCGTTACGACATTAAACTCGTACTGCCTTAGTACGAGTTTGTTTGGCAAGTAAAAGTAACGTTTTTGCAATACAACACACAGTTTTAAAACCGATTAAAAATAAGTGCACATCACTTGAATTGTCGCTTACCATCAGGCGAGACAACGGCCAAGCGTCTACCCAATACCAAAAAAAAAACAAATCTAACTTAAAGTTATTTCCGTACGGCGCGTCGCGTTCCGCGCGCGCCTCAAAGAGCCATCAGACCACCACAGATGGGGCCCAATAGGGCCGATGCCGATTCGGAGTCGCGGAGAACCTAACGGGTAACCGGGGCTCCGGCTCGACGTGCAGGAGAAGGAACGGGGTGGTTTTTAGTCAGTAAGAGTCTGACACTCCCTTCCGCCTCACCCAGGCGGGAGCAGTCATTCGATGATTTTCCGCCAAAAAAACTTAAAGTTATTTAAATTCGTTTAGTTTTTAAACTACCGACCTTAATACATTACAATCTGCTTACATTGTAGTATTTTTCCTCAATAGTTTTTAAAATGAAAAAACCCAGGCCTTAGTCATTACAAGTCCTATTGACTCCAGTGTTCCACACATACATAAACCACTTAATTTACAAGTCCTTAGAGTCCTCACACACAATGCGCATGCGCAGGGGCCGAACAAAAGCTTTACATGCACTCAACTTGAATTGAGCTTTTAAACGTGAATGCTTTATCATGCTTCAAAAGCTTTCATTAGGAAATCCTTGTTAATTATTGAAAGTAGTACTTACTTATATGTATAGATGAATAAAATAATAGAAGTTAGTTTGATAGGTACACCAAGGGGAATGTTTTTGTCGAGCATGTTCCTAAAATATTTAATTTGTTATATTTTTAGTACACGAGTTTTATAGTTATATGGCAATAGGCTCACCCCCTATTACATGGGGCTCATAACATAAATAGTGAAAAGTGGGTGTTACTTCTGTGTGCACCTCTGCCTACCCCTTCGGGGATAAAAGGCGTGATGTCATGTTATGATGTTATGTTATGTGACTTTTTTAGTTTCCAGGATTCATGATATGAATAGTCGTCAGAACCAATAAAATAATAAGCTTATTTTTAATGAAAGTTTCTTGTTAGGATAGATAAATGCCAATGTTACATTATTCTGTAAACATAGTGAAAAACATGTTTAATACTTAATAATTATCTCAATCCGACTACAATACAAACCCTAGTATATAAATAACACATGATGTTCAATTGATATTCAAAACATAGCATGACAACTGGCAGATATATTATCAAGAATTTCCATGAATAACTTAATTAAATGATCAATATAATCATTAACAGTAAACATAAAGATAAAATAGATGTTAAGAGCTTAATTATCAGTACATTACGATGCAAAATGGCGTAGGCTTATAAATATTTAGTACTTAATATTTTCATTAACAACGTCAGAGTCCACTGATCCTTTATAAAAAAAGGATTTACTATAAACCCCAGACCTTTTTTTTAGAGGGCGGGGTGAATCAATGACTTCTCGCGCCGGGGTGAGACGAGAGAGAGTGTCAGACTCTTACTGACTAGAAACCACCCCGTTCCTATTCCTGTACTTCGAGGCGGAGCTCCGGCAGCCCGTTAAGTCCTCCCGCGGCTCCGTATCGGCCCCAGCCCTATTGGGCCCCATCTTTGGTGGTCTGATGCCTCTGTGGTAGTCTGATTGTAGTCCTCGCAGTGATGACACCCGGGCATTTCCTCCCGTCCAATCCAAAACAGGAACCTACCGAAACTTCTGGTAAGCATCTGCGTCAGGCGGTAGGTGAGGAAGCCGTAACGTCTCTCAAGCCACTCCTCAAAGAGGGGACTTACCGCTGCAATAACAGCGAACCCAATATTTTATTCTACCCTGCCGTCACCACATGTGTATTTAATATTTATAAGTTGGAATACTGACTTGGTTACTTTAAACCGGTTGAGTGGAGCTAACTGAATGGGGTTTAGTACTTGAACAATGTACTCACTCATACGACTATAGCAATCAGTACTAAACAATGGAGCATCATTTCGAAAAACAATCCGATCCTCGTGACTGAGTTGTGGCTTACTGATAGGTGCGTTTAAAGATGCTGGTTTATGAGTTAAGTAAAGTTTTATTAAATTTGTCAGTATGTACGATTATTAAATTTGTTTCTAATTTAAAATAGGTACCGGTTTTTAAACAATTTCTTGACCTAGTGAACGTTGTGAGTTCAAACCTAACAACTGTAATAAAAAATGTTATGTGGACACTTTATTTCTAACTTCGGATGTAGTTGATTGAAGACCAAGTCACAAAAGAAGTAAATGAAAATAAACATGCTAACTTTTCTTCCTTTTTTCAATAGAGAGAAGTAATGAAGTAATTTCATGTCAAATCTGCTCAGTTAAATTGTAATAAAAGTTGAAAATAATCAGTCCATTCTCTCACAGAGTGTCTTCATTTTATTTTTAGTACCTTCGTGTTCTTACTGCCCTGCTATTAACTACTACCTTGCATCGAAAATTACTGCAATAATACTGCAATTATTTTCTCCCTTGACATTTGTTATTATTGCACTCCATTTTTTTTAAATAAAAAAAACTAACTCCAGTCCAGCTGCAGCACGACAACCTTCCCCAACATAGTTTACAAGATTTTCAACTTTATTTGTAAATAATGAAAATTGAAAATCAATTGAATGAAATATAGTTTCGGGTAACTTGATTTGCGTCTACATCTACACAGTTGAACTATTGTGGTGTAAAGTAATTATACGGCTATTTCTAGTTATCACCTACAGTAGAGTGGGTACTTGTATATTATCTAGGCTGGTATTAATAAATCAAATGTTTCTGTGTAATTGTGTAGGAACAATTTATTTGCACTTGATGTAAGACTCAGATGCAGGACAACCTTGGACTTTGTATGTACGGTACCTGAAGACTTAAAGTCATTTGTTTGTTAGTTTTTATATGGAATAGAACTAATTAACGTCAGCATTTACTTCAGCACATAATTATCATTTAGTCATTGTTAAACTATCAACTTATTCCTTAGCGATGTCATATAAAAATAAAATTAAAAAATGTGATACGCAATGTTCCAACATCAAATTAACGACATTCTTGAGGTAAGTGCGCCAAATTCGCTCCAAACGCCATCTAGCTACATTCGTAAACTGCATAAGATACAACAAAATTGATAGAACTATTGTAGAATTAGACACAAAAGAGGTTTCTATAAATAGTTATGACTAAAATTCCTTGAAGTTACCTATCTATTGGTATGATGACGTCATTTTACGTGATTTGCTATATGGTAAGACGTGGTTGTTGATATTCAAGATTCACTTTTATGTTAATTTAAAGAATACAATCTTACACTAATTGGGTACGTGTTCAATTATTAATTATTACGGTTTTCGGCTTACTCACGTAATTATTTGACGAGGAACTCGACTAGTTTCAAATAAATACATTTACAGTAAATAATTCTCCTCAATTATTTACTGTAAATAAAAAGTAAAGACTTTATCACTTAAAGGTATGGGTTTTTCTTTAAAATCTTTTGACTGATATTTGTTTATTTTACAATTTTGACAACGAGTACCCAATACTCACTTAATTCCTGGTGTCATTTGTAACTAATGCTAGACTAACTTCGTCTACTTTAACGACATACACGCATATCTATCTATCTAATTTAGCCTACTTTAATTATCAGACTTTATTTTAAACTAGCTTTTATCCGCGTGTTCCGGTTTTATCCCATGGTAGCATTTAAGTGGAATAGGTACAAAGTTTTCTATAATACCTTACCTGTATACCAAATTATTATCAAAATCCGTTCAGTATTTCAGCGGGATTGACGGATAAATATCCAAACATCTAAAGAAAGAAACTTTAAATTACTTTGTTGTAGGCATTTTGAACTGAATTCGAAAATTCTTTATTGAGTAATACAAGGATGTTGTCTAATCTAAAACTTTATTAATTCGTACAAATTACATACAAATAAATGTCTATCGACTTTAGGCTTTTTTATTTAGGCTAGCCATTAGACTGCTAAAGAAAATTATGAATTTTCTTAATTAACTCGTTGAGTACCGTCATTATAGACACAATTAAAGAACAATAGGTTGCGGTCACCGGTGTCCGTTTGGTGTTTGACAGTTTAAATTACTACTACTACTAGGTACTTTAATATGTTAAAAGTAGAAGCCAGCAGATATTCCTTACATACTTGTAGAAATGTCAAACTGTATAGGTGTTCGACTAGTTAATCAGTTTAGTAATTAATAGATTATAATTATTAGCTTAATGCCCTTAACTGACGAGCATGCATGAAAAGACTGATGACTGTTATTGAATCGAAATAGCTATGTAAGAATCGTAGCCAATTGCTACTAGCCACCAAGTCAAATTCAATACTTTATTTGAACTTTCAAAAATGACAGTTATCTATGAATTTTGTACACGAGATTGTGTATTGTGGCGTCACGTTTTTTTAGCGTCAAACAGTATACTTATTTCTTAAAAAATTGCTAGTGATATACTAAAATTAACTTGCTTATAAAATCAATTAATGAAAGTGTGATTATATTTCAACATTTTATTGTATTGAACAGTCGAAATAATTTATTTTTGATTAAGGCAAGTACCCAACTAGCATTCTATCGTATAGTCGTTGTGGCGTTATATAGTCTCAGGCCCGCCATCCCATGACGGGCCTGAGATTTCGATGTATGTATAAATGTATGTATGTAATTAATAGAGTGTTGTTACTTGCTTCAGATCGGGCCGGTGACCACATGCCGCCTTCATCATGGTGATCGTTACCAGGGTAAGTTTTCAGAAACCTCCTCACGATACGTGCCGTTTCTAGGAGAACTGCCTTCTTATAACAGTTATTATTATTATTAAAAAATAATACTTGGGTGTGAAAACATTCTCAATAGTAGATATTAGATAGTTACGACCATCTCAGTAACTTATCTGTCGGTGGATTGGTTGGCTTCTTACACATATATCATTTTGGTACAATAGATGTGAAGCATATTATAATTAGCTGTGTAGAAATGTATCTATGTAGTTATTGATCTATTCGCAACAACAGAATCGATAGACAATTAAGAATTATTTTGTAGTCTTGAAATTCATTCATCACACAGACATAACATAGTAAGTTAGAGGTACCATTAAAACACCCACACAAATATAATTTCGCATCATGTAATTTTTATGTAAACAAACTAGACACGACTGGATTTAGTTCGTAAGTATAGTGTTTAAGTTGAAATCTTTAGAAAGCCTGTTCAAGCCTCCAGTTTTGTGGCTACATAAAATTATGGCTACATACGTATATACGTATGTATATCCATAATTTTATGTAGCCACAAACCGGATACTAAGATGTTGGAGACGACATCCATTTTACCGACAGCTTCGAGTAGTATACTTGACATGAATAACTCTTGATGACCATTTGTACTGTCAGTGGACCGTTGAACATGAATGACCGATTCTGATCGTTTGGGTAGTCATTCATTTTACGATTGACCGCTGATCCAACTATGGTTTAGTTTGATTGAATGCAAATAGTAGATGTGTATCTGTGTTTGTCTAGACATTGTTCAAATTAATATGCTTTTAATCGTAGTATTCGAAAAAGTTTGACATGCGTGCATTGACCAGAGACCTATTAAAGAAGTAAATGTTAGATATTCCCTGTTTATTCCCCATTTTTTATTTCCACAAGTGACTTTTGATTCATTATACATTACTTTATTATTCCATGATTACAACGATAACGATCGCTTCAATGCTAAAACAATTGATTGAAATGTTCGATTTTTTGTAACTGCCAAACTTGGCAATAATTGCAACTAAAAAGAGGTTAGCTGTCAAAACTTGCAACTTCCGCGTGTGAACATTAAAAAAAATGAATAGTCGGCATTATGAACGGTGACGCAGTGTGAGCTACCTACTTGTGCCCAAAGCGGTACATTCTCGCCGAGTTCCGATCAGTGCGTTTGGCAACACATTCCGTCAGCCCGCCACAGAATCCAACACTGAGGGCGTTCACCTCGCTGACCAATACATACATGCATACACACTATACATATACACTCTCACAGCGAACTTAAACTAAATATCTCATTAAAGAAAACGTCAAAGAGAGAATTTCTTAAATCTACGTATCAATGAAATATCATTTATTGGAGACTGTGACAGCTAGCTTCCATGCTTGATTTACGATGGCCGTTTGACACATAAGGGTTTCAATATCTGTAATAAAAAGTGAAATCATAAGTGGATTCAGTTTATTAGAGTTTCAAAATATTTGCATTGAATTAGTTCCTGTTCGTCCAAATTGGTTCGAACTTTACTACCTACGCAGTTTTATATAGAACTACATATACTTATAAACCAATATTATTGAAACTAGACCTCATTTTCGTAATATTTATGTAATAACCAGTATATTGAAACGTTTCCTATTCGATCAACTAATAGTTGACTATTCCCTATAAGAAATTATTGGCACGTTATCCTAGTTTCATATTTGCAAAATTCACAATTTACAATTTTGATTTCTATATTTAAGCACATACAATCTTATTTATATTGTTGTTAAGAAATGACATTTGCAATTAGGTTTAAATATAATTAGATTACAAATACTTACTGGTTGTGTTAAGTGTCAAACAAGCTTGCGTGTATTTACATTAACTACGTATTTAAATGTTAAACCAAGTAAAACAAAAAGCTTCTTACGAATAGATAAATACATAGATACAACATTTATTGGCCGAGTGCGACTACCGGGCAAAAGGTCTCGGGTTCGATTCCCGGGTCGGGTAAAGCATTACAGGGTTATAAAAAAAAATCTCAGTAGTAGCGCGGAGTCTGGAAATGTGCCCGGTATATGGCAATAGGCTCACACCCTATTACATTGTACTAATATAAATAGTGAAAAGTGGGTGTTACTTCTGTGTGCACCCCTTCGGAAATAAAAGGCGTGATGTTATGTTAACAACATTTATCATAATCCTGGTTTAACATCTTAAACCAATCAGTTAACAATTAACAATAAACGATCATCGCCAGATATATCACTGAGACCGCCGTAAGAGCGTATCTGTGTCAATTCAACATTGCTTTAAAATTCTTACTAAATAACATGTTACTCTGAGTTAGGTTGATTATAGACGGGTAGAGGTGAACTGGTCGACTGCCAAATCGAGAGGGAGAGTGGACACTGGACACAATGCCTCGTAAACATTGCGTGGGTCCAAAACTAGGACCGAACGGCTTTCAATACGAAACTAGCTTGATATCATTGGCAACTGATCTGTTTATTGTGTAGACTCTAGACTCAAGTACTTGTCTAAATTTTGTAATTGGAAACTAGCTGGTTATGGTAGTTTATTCAGGAGTTTTGTTCGGTTATCTGGGTGATAATCGAGTCGTTAAAGTATGACTGCCAAATAAGGGGTTTCGGAATCGATTGACAAATTACTGATTATTGAAATTTACTGTGTCGTTGGCCGAGTGGTCACAAGTGCGACTATCAGGCAATGGGTCTCGGGTTCGATTCGAGCATAGTACTACTGGGTTTTAAAAAAAATCTTAGTGGTAGCACGGAGTCTGGAATTGTGCCTGGTATATGGCAATAGGCTCACCCCCTATTACATGGGACTCATAACATAAATAGTGAAAAGTGGGTGTTACATTGGACAGTGGCATTAAGTGCCGTAATCTGCACCTCTGCCGACCCCTTCGGGGTAAAAGGCGTCATGTTATTATGAAATTTTTAGAGGCTAGATTTATACTAAATGTTTGAATGAGGCTTAGTCCTTTTAAAAATGGGATCAAAAAACCCGGGTAAAAGTGAGTGTATGATGAGAGCCACTTTTGTCTACCTTTCGAGGAATAAAGACAATGAACCTGAGACCTTGTACATAACCGGTGCTCCTGTAACCACTCAAGCAAAGACACAGTAATAAACTAGTATTACGAACTGCAATTATTTGTTTTACAATGTGACGACCGGCAATTATTACTAGAGGGCATTCACCCCAACACTAAGTCACGCATAGATTCGGTTATTCCTATTCACATTTGATACATTTTCACCAATTCCTAGAATACTGAATTCGATGCACGTTTATTTGTCAATGCTCACTGTTACATATGGATTTACAATTGTAAATACATTGTACATAGTTCATAGGTACGACACGACATAAGACAATAGGTAGTTTAATGTTGTGTCTGTATGCAAAATACTGCAATAAAAAAATTTACATTTCTCACTCAATATCTTTTGCACGAACCTCGTGCTTTCGCCAACCAGCCTGACGAATTATTTTTTACAACGTTGCTTAACAAAATGAATCTCCCCTGTATCGTGGGTGCAAACACTCGCATTATTGCATTCAGGTATAGAACAATAATTTCTATATTACGGAATTGCTTTGATCGAGAATAGAACCAGCTACGTATTACGTAGCAGTCAACCTCCAAAGCATTGCGAAAACAGTCGTTAATAATGAGTTACGATAATGTATGTAAATAAAATATACGCGTGTGATGCGACAACATTTTATTCAATTTCTGTTTAATATTAATATTTAAAACTAGCTTTCTTCTAACAAGCGGACACCATAGATTATATAGAAAGCATTTTTTTTTAAACCGGTTCAGAAAGTATTTGACACTGGAACGACTTTGACACGACTGTATTTATTTGCATTAAGAATTAATTTTTAGTCATAGAATTGCTAATGATGTGTTAATAATTTGATCTTCTTATGTTTATATCTAAGTTAATGCTTGCCTCATGACAAGACCCAGGGAATTTTGATTTTGCCATTACCGAATAAATAGTAACATTTTGGTTGCTTTTAAAGTAGCAGGTGTCTACTTATTGTCTTACTAAAGATTAGGTTTATATAATTTCATATTTTACTTGACATTGGATTATGAATGTTTATTGATTAAAAAGCTGTGAGTGGATCGAACTAACACTGATTACAACTGGCGATATACTGATGTGTGTTTGAATAATAGATAACAATATGTTTTCCAATGTTAATAGTATAATTGACTTTGACATAAAAAACAATACACATAATGCACACAGATTATATTCTTAATCACATAGGTACTTCCGTAAAATATTTTTATAACAGAACTACTTCTTTTCTATTTACCGAATTAAGTACATGATCAAAATTAAATGCTTCTCTTTAGAACATATTTATCGTGATATTACTTAGAGAACAAATCTTACGAGTCACTACGTCATTTAATATAAATCATATTGAACTCATTGAACGGAATGGTGACTGATAACTGTTATAAACTTAACTGTTCAGCGATCTGAGAGTTGCGGTCATTTAGTGATAAACTTATCGATCGACTAGTATGAACTGACACTTAGATACATCTATACAATTAAATAATTATTTTATTTCACTATTCGCGGTTGTGATGTGTTGCCATGGAAACCATATACTTTGAGGTAACTTTTTGATGAAATATTGTTATTTTAACACTGGTTCATATGATACATGTTATGTGTTATTATTTTATGCATAACATGTTTCTTTTTTACTTAAACAATTATTTGATAGAATAGAAAAAAAAATTATTAATTCACGAATTTTACAATTTTTTAACAAAATGGTTAGCGATGTGATGTGATAAAGTCTTGATTTGAATTGTTTTGTTCTATGATTTACCAATGTACAGATTATTAAAATATAACCTCAAATGAAGTCTGAGTTTTTCAGTGACCATAATTATTATTATTACATTATGAATCATTCAACTTGCTCATGAATCCATTCATGGTCTATTAACTTGAATTTACATGGATAACAGTATCTACTTTATAATTTGTCCCATTGCAGAGCAAAGACCTCTTTTCATGATAATTCTATTTACGTGGAAAATAGTGAATTACCCAATAATACATATTCTCTATATAGTTAGGTGTTCATATGTATGTACATCTTTAATATAAATTTGATGTCTTAAACGATTGCTCACTAAAAAAGTGACAATAAACTTTAAAAAACTTAAGACACTCCTAACATTTTATGAAGAATATTTAACCATTAAATGTATTTATTTGCATCCGTCGTCGTCATCGTCATGAACACGACACACACTAAAGTATAGGCATATTCGTTATGTACCTATTATGTATTATGTATGTATGTCTACCGTATGTGGCTGTGACCCGGAGGTTAAAAGACAACATTTTTGAAATGAGAATATTTCATTGACTGGAAAGTGCATTGTAGTGAACAAATTTTCGGTAGGTACGCTATTCGTGAACTGTCACTCCATCTAGACATTATATAAACAAAGAAACTAATTTACAATTTTACGAGTAACTGTCTTACGACTGAGAACTTTGCCCTACAGGGGTTTCTACAACTCGAATTAATTATAATGAAGTAATTCCGTGTCTTCGTATACGTAACATAACAATATAAGTTTTAATAACAGTAATTATTGTATTAAGTAAGAGATACATCGCCATGTATTGACGGCGCGCGCAATAGGGACGCAGCCGACTTTCTACAACTTTATACCCACTACAGAGTATTGTTTTTATATTAGTTCCGGCTCCAGTGGATTACAGGTTTTATGAGGTGTTGCATATGTATGTTTTATTGGGTAGAATCTTCCTTTACTGACAATAAAGTTAGTGGAAACTGTTGCACTGTAAGCATATGTTTAAAACTTATTTTGTATGCGATACGATGCTTCGGTATTATTATGCGCATAAATAAGGGACAATTTAGAAAATTTTATCTATGATTATGTACGACTTTTTTAAATGAAATAAAAAAAATACTCGATGAATGAGGTCAATGTGCTACGGAAACACAGATTACATCTCAGATATTAAGATAAGTAAGTTTTATCAGTTTAACTTCTATTTACCTATATGCAATTCACTGATGCAAAATAATGTCATCGAATAATTAAACAATTGAGGTTTAGTTATCTATGGAGACATCAAGTCTGTCTTCATTTTTGTTGTGTAGATGTAACAGATAATATTGCTATCGTTCTTCACATGCGACCAATATTTGTTTATCAATTTCTTGATCTACAAGGCAGTGGCATTGACAAGTTCGTATTGTTTTAATCCATGTAATTTTTTAGATATAATTAATTATGTCGATCGGTTATTAAACTCTTTACCTAAATGTATATAGATTTCGGTAGATATACCTAATCGAGACCATACAAACATACTATTTTACTTTTATTTCAACTTTTGTATTTCGAACTTTGACCAAAAAAGAGAAAATAAGTAGCAACATGTAACTGCTTCTTTAAATTAGTAAGTTAGGTTAAGTATTGACATTGTATTCTAATCTTTAATGTGGAGTAATTTTGACATTCATCACATCATTATTTTAATCATTCATCATTCTTTTAATTTAAATTTCATTGCCATTTCATTCATATAGATGTAACAAAATTGTGCTGACGTTGAAATTCCATAATATTGTTTCTCTATTTTTTTAATATTTCTACACCGGCAACAGTAGTGCATGTGAAACAACATTATAAAAACATTTGAAACACTTTAAAATTAACACCTTGTACACTCAGATAATGAATTATTATTATTAAACAAAAGTAACATAACACACCTATTACCTATACAGGCAGGTATAGAAATCTAGTAGCGAAGAGCTGATAAAGAACAGGAACTAGATGTCAGTAGGAATCAATCTTACGAAAGCTGTCTAGTCACATTAAAGAGAGCTAATGGAAAAACCTGTTTGAGACAACTTTTTTTTCAGTAGCGACAAAAAGTCTAAGATCTGTATCTATGGTATAAACGATTAGGCATTTAAAAAAGTAGTTGGTTTAGTTTCTGGTCGACGTATAAGCATGTGAGGATTATTCGTCGTTGACGATCTCCCGATAAGGATAGTTGTCGCCAATCTGGTTTTTTATTCGATATCGAAATAAGGCGTTCGAAATATAAAACGTTTGTTTGGACTGACTTGTTGCTTGTTTGGCTATCTTCTTTGTAAGATTCCTAAATCTGTTTTTTGAATCCTTGTTAATCTATGATTCGAAGTTCTGATAACGATATTTTCGAAATTTATTCTTTTAAGTAGAATATCTCAATAACTGTTAAAATAAAGTAGCTATGGTACTACTTTGCACCTCAAAATATCTAATGCAGTCAAGTAAATTTTGTATCTTCTTATAAATTCCTCATTAACAAAGTAAGTGACCTGCCGGTTCTGCCTGATGACTGATCAAACATAATCTGATTTCCAGGGCGATTACATATGGATCGAGCCGGTGTCTGGTCGGGAGTTCGACGTGGCGATAGGTGCACGCGTGCTTGCGGCCGAGGGGCGACGGATTCGAGTCCGGGACGACGACGGCCACGAACAATGGCTGCCACCAGAGCGAAGGATCAAGGCGATGCATGCCACCTCCGTGCATGGCGTCGAGGACATGATATCCCTCGGTGACCTGCACGAAGCCGGCATACTCAGAAACCTACTTATAAGATACAATGAGAATCTCATTTATGTAAGTATCTACGTTTAACATATTTTAAGCTAAGATTTGAAGTTGTGTTTAAACAAGTCCTCAGACGAAAGTAATTTATGAATATCTATGAGTATCTTCCTACAGTCGGGTAAAAAAATGTTTAGCCACACAAAATATCCGAAGTCCTACTTTACGCACATTCTGAATTTGTGCATAGCGTTGTTATATTAGACTAGTTTGAAAATTTGATTACCATACCTTCACCTTCCATATTGGACAGTCTAATTGATCGCTGCCCATAAACAGAAGCTCTTTATTTATGTAATCTTCAAATCGATTTCAAAACTCGTTATTAAAATACTAAAGTAATGAACAAAAATCAAGCGCAGGTAACGCAACACTTGGACTAAGAGTCGATAAATAAAATTGGACTTATCAAGTTGTATAAGAATGCCCATTCATCATTTTGTTCTGATGGGGAAAAATTTAAAGCCGGTTCTAGCAAGGACAATCTACCGCTTCAAGAATTTATTAATTATTTTAGAGAGGCAGATGACTTAATCTATCTTGCTGCTATACCTACAAATTTTACTAACCGCTGTGGGTTAAAGACCAATACTGACAGATTAAGAGAAATCTGACAGGCCTGTGATTGTTTAGATATCACCAATTTATATTATTAAATTCGATGTCTTATTTTTCTTAAATTATCATGGTTATTAAACCGTCAAACACCAAGCGGTCACCGGTGACCGCGACCTATTGTTCTTTAATTGTGTCTATAAAACCGGTACTCGACGAGTTAAAACTTGTTAAAGACAACTTTCGTTTTCGTTAAAAATCGTTTTCAAATAACGTCATTTGTTTATCAATCGGATAATAGTTAGTATGGTAACGTTTTGTTTACTTACTTTCAATATTTAAGCTATCGAATTGTATCTGATTTTGATACTTAGGTCAATATTTTAATGGTTCAATGGCTAACTAAATTTTTTATGTGTTTGAGTCTGGATTGGTGGACGAACTGCCTCTTAACGTCAAACTGATTAGAACATTCTCATTTCAGACATACACCGGCTCAATATTAGTAGCGGTGAATCCTTACCAAATACTGCCGATCTACACGGCAGACCAGATCAAGTTGTATAAGGAACGGAAGATTGGGGAGCTGCCTCCTCACATCTTCGCGATTGGCGACAATGCGTATGCGCATATGCGTCGCTACAAGCAGGATCAGTGCATTGTCATCAGTGGAGAATCAGGCGCAGGGAAAACGGAATCTACCAAGTTGATTCTTCAATACCTCGCCGCGATCAGTGGGAAGCATTCGTGGATTGAACAACAGGTACCTACATGTTTTTTATTTGTGAAAGCATAGACTTTTGTATGTATTGTAACTAGTTTGAAATTTTAATTGTCATGTAATAGTGATCGGCCCCAAAATTGAACCTTGAGGAACTCCATATCGGTCGATAATAATGTCCACCATATTAGGTGCACTACTTAATATAGCTATTTATCAAGGGACTTAAACATTCCATATGATTTATTACCTTTAAAATATTTATTTTATTATCAAATAATTATTAACGTAATTTCGTAATTTTTCCTGCTAAATAAGAATCTTACAATAAAACTGTTTATTATATAGAAAATCCAGGAAATGTTAGATATTACCTTATCTATGTGTAGGTATTTTCAATAATTAGGGTGTTACTTTACATTGTCTAACATATTCAAAAAAATGTTTTAAAGGATTTGCAAATAAGATTAATATGTATATCGGGGCACATCTTGCGGACACAATTAATTAAGATTAGATAATGAAATATTGTGCAGGGAGTAGCCTAATCAATTAAATTTTTATCTGATCGTAAATATATTTTAGTTAGATTTATGTCATTGATTTGGTCGTTCTATGCATAGTAAGTACCTAGTCGGCAAAAACAAAGAGCAAAAACAATGATCACATTTTATTTCGTCATTTTCAAATAATTTTTCCATAATTATTGTGTAGCATCTAAATAGGAAATTATTTATGTCTTATACGTATGTAATGTAAATACTGTTCTTAATATAAGTCTCAAATAAATTCTGTTTTTTCTTCAGATCCTAGAAGCAAATCCCATTCTTGAAGCTTTTGGCAATGCGAAGACTGTAAGAAACGACAATTCCTCACGTTTCGGCAAATATATTGACATCCACTTCAATAATAGCGGCGTCATCGAAGGCGCCAAGATTGAACAATATCTTCTAGAAAAGTCTAGAATAGTCTCCCAGGGTGCAGAGGAAAGGAATTACCATGTGTTCTACTGCTTACTGGCTGGTTTGTCCAAAGAAGAGAAGAAGAAGTTAGAATTGACTGATCCATCTGAATATAGATATTTATCTGGGGTGAGTAACATTACATATTTTAGTAGAACTTATATGTTAGAAAAACGTAATGATAGAGTAGTGGTAATGAGTGAAATATTATCATACTCATTTATGGTAATCCCCAAATACTGACAATAAAGGTAATGTATTATATGGGGATTTACTGATAACATCAGCATAGAACTAACTGATGATAGTGATATTTAAATTATAGTGTAATAGCATGTCTTAAAAGATAACGATTTTATCATAGTTTTCATAGATAGTATTGCTATACAATTAAATCCAATTAAAATTCATAGATATGACCTACGTGACTTACATAATATTTATTTACGTGTCTGTTTTAGGGAGGAAGCCTAACTTGCGAAGGCAGGGACGATGCTGCTGAATTCGCAGATATACGATCAGCTATGAAGGTTCTATTATTCACGGAACCAGAAATATGGGAAATATTAAAGCTCTTAGCAGCCGTCCTACATACTGGTAACATTAAATACGAAGCTACGGTTGTGGATAACTTAGATGCAACTGAAATTATAGAACAAGCTAATGTAAGAAGAGTGGCAACATTGCTCGGCGTGCCCATGCAATCGCTTATCGACGCACTAACTAGAAAGACACTATTCGCTCATGGAGAAACTGTTATTTCAACCCTGAGTAAAACTCAATCGGTTGATATCAGGGATGCCTTTGTCAAAGGTATCTATGGACGCCTCTTTGTTACTATCGTAAAGAAAATCAACGCTGCAATCTACAGGCCAAAGTCAACAATGCGCACAGCTATCGGTGTTCTTGATATATTCGGTTTTGAAAATTTCGATCAAAATAGTTTCGAACAATTCTGTATAAACTTTGCGAACGAAAACTTACAGCAGTTCTTTGTTAGACATATATTCAAATTGGAACAGGAAGAATACAACCACGAAGGAATTAATTGGCAGCATATTGAATTCGTAGATAACCAGGATGCTTTGGATTTGATTGCGCTAAAACAACTGAACATTATGGCTTTAATTGATGAAGAGTCGAAGTTTCCAAAGGGCACTGACCAAACAATGTTAGCCAAGCTACACAAGACCCACGGTCTACACAGAAACTACCTCAAGCCAAAGTCAGATATAAACACCAGTTTTGGATTAAACCACTTCGCTGGAATAGTATTTTATGATACGCGAGGATTCCTTGAGAAGAACCGTGATACGTTCAGTGCTGATTTATTGCAACTAATTCACATTTCTACAAATAAATTCTTGCAGCATATATTCCAGGACGACATTGCGATGGGCTCTGAAACTAGAAAACGGACTCCGACACTTTCAACACAGTTCAAGAAATCTTTGGACTTATTGATGCGAACTCTAGGAACATGCCAACCATTCTTCATCAGATGTATAAAACCAAATGAATTCAAGAAGCCTATGATGTTTGATCGTGGTCTGTGCTGCAGGCAATTAAGGTACTCTGGAATGATGGAGACGATTAGGATCAGGAGGGCTGGGTACCCGATCAGGCACAGTTTCAAGGAGTTTGTTGAGCGATATCGGTTCCTAATATCTGGTGTTCCACCGGCGCACAAGACTGACTGCCGTTCGGCTACTGCTAAAATCTGTGCAACAGTGCTTGGCAAGTCTGATTATCAGCTGGGTCACACCAAAGTTTTTCTGAAAGATGCTCACGACTTATTCTTGGAGCAGGAAAGAGATAGAGTGCTTACTAGGAAGATATTAATTCTTCAGAGGTCTATTAGAGGATGGGTGTATCGCAGACGTTTCTTGAAGATGCGGGCGGCGGCCATATTGATTCAACGTCACTGGCGCGGCAAGCTGCAGAGGATTCGGTATAATAAGATGAAGGTTGGATATGCGAGACTGCAGGCTTTGATTCGTGCGAGAGTGTTGGCGCATCGGTTCAGGCATCTTCGGGGACACATTGTGGCTTTACAAGTGAGTATTACAGCTTTAGTAAATAACGAACGGTGAATAAACAATTAATATTTTATTTTGTAAAATACAATATCTTCATGTGTTCTGATTAAATAACTCATCTTTATTGTGTTCATAGGCAGCAGCCCGTGGTTACTTGGTGCGTCGTTCGTACGGACACAAGATGTGGGCTATAGTGAAGATCCAGAGTCATGCGCGTCGGTTGCTGTGTATGCGACGCTACAAGCGCATGCGCGGCGAGGCGCGCGCGCACTCCGAGGCGCTGCGCCTGCGCCGCCAGGAGGAACTGCGCCTGCACACGCAGGGCAACACGCGCGCCAAGGAGATCGCAGAGCACAACTACCGGGTGAGACATCATTTGTTTATATTGATAGTTTTATTATTATTTAAGGCGTGTCCAGAGTATAGAAACTTAAATTCCTTTATTAGTTCTACTAGTACTTTTAGACACCATGGGTGTGATAAAATAGTGTCTTTGTGTTAGGTAATAATTAATGCTGTCCTGTCTACAAGTGAATTTTTTTGTTTATACATAGTAATATTCTTTTACCAATTAAATTGCAAACGTTTTTAGTTACGTTCAATTTAAGACGAATATCCATTGGTGATTACCGAAATTAAAACCAACAGTAAGTTGGCACATATAGTATCAAGTTCTAGTTAATTAACCAGTTCAAATACAATGTTGCATTTAAAATTATTAAATAAAGATAACGGTTATTTTGAAAACGTAGGTATTATAGACGTAAAGTTATAACAATTTTAGTTAAACAATATCAGAATATTGTAAGATAAATTGATATGTACTTATTTCATTAACTGTCCAATCTAATAAAATGATGGTGTTCTACGTTTTTACAAAAATTGATAATTGTTTATTTAAGATTTTAATCGTAAAGATCATCTGATTCGATAAGTTGCCTTTAAATCTATTGCTAAAGATAAAATTATACGAATCGGTTTAATAATTATCGTGAGTATTATTAAATTAACTAAACATCGCGGTTTACTCACGTGAAAAAACTGAGAAAAGCTCTACTAGTTTCACGCCACAGAGGGGCTCTTCCTTATAAGCAACATGCGCGGTCGCGGTGATGTCGCGCAGCCTACATTTAAGATTCAGTATATCTCACGATAGTTATTATAAAAACAAGAAGAGGACGCATAATGAACCAGTAACTACGCCCATTAACACTATAACGACTATTAACTCGTCGAGTACCGGTTTTATAGACACAATTAAAGAACAATAGGTCGCGGTCACCGGTGACCGCTTGGTGTTTGACAGTTTAATAATAACTACGTACTTAAAGTAGGACCATTAGTATTGCCCAAACATTAGACAGATAATATTATATCAATTTAAAATTACAATACGATTTAATGATGTCGGCGAATACCTTTCATATAATCAGAAAAATAGATCATCGTTAGATAATTTAACTGGTAAATGAAGTAATTATGTCTATATTATTAAATATAATATAATGCAGCGTCATGATAAATCGGATGACATTATTCCATTAGTTGCCTTATCGGGCAAAGTATATTCCTTACATATTTGCGAGAATAAAAATAGCATTTGCGAAGTGAATTTTGGACGGTAAGGTTGACGAGTAACTATTGGTATTGTTATATAATTAGCATTTAATACTGTTATGTAGTTCATTTACATAAAATAAAAAAACTTGGCTGTTTTTAAAGGATTTCGAATAAAAGTAGGTATGTTGATAATAAGATTTTCACGTTTGACGTTTTAATTTCTTTATGCATAAAGGTGAGATATTGGTACAGAATCACAAACTTTCATGTATATAAATTAAACAATAACTTAATCTTGCAGTCTTTTGATATTTAAGTTCTGAAACAAACTAATTAAGCGCCTGTTTCAGTTCCTGAAGTGATAAAAATCCCTTTTGCACGAATAAGTTTAACTAAATATATATATGTATCTGTCTACCCCTTTACAAAATACAGGTGTGATAATATGTTTTGGACTGTTAACCATTAAATAAATCAAATTAAAATGCCGCTATTGCTTTATCTCTGCGATAATCGATCGATTGAACAACTGTTTCTGAATACAAAATCATTTTCATAGTGCATCGCCAAGTGAATAGGCACGTAGCTACTTAGAAAAAAAATATTCTAGAATTTTTTTTAAAATAATTAACAAAAAACTCCAGAATATAATATGAAAGCTTAAACATTAATTTGACAAAATGACAATTAATAAAAATAGTGACATTAAATGTGTGAAAGTGATCCATTTAAGCCCTTTGTTATATTTGCCTGTATTAAATACACGTCTCCATTGGTACCTACAATGCTGTCAGGTGAGTTGTGAAATATGATTTGAGTAAAGAGGTGAATATTGAATGATAATTCCAATTTCGCCATATTTTTAATTCTGATTGATCTTTATATGAATACCAATAAATTTTAAGCAATATAAAGATATAAAGAAAATTGATATGTGATATAACAAGTAGCTTATAATTATACAAAAATAATTCAAATATCATGTAAACATCGACTACGCAAATTGCTACGTATTGCTACGCCTGTATAGATATCCTGGTGCTACGCCGTAGTCTTGCTACGAAAGTTCTGGAAAAGTAATTATACGACTTGTAACTTGTAATGTAAAGTAAATGAATTATTTACTTAAGTAATCCAATTTAGTTAATTGTAAAACGAACCTATACCTTGAATATGTCTGCGAAGAACCTCACGGGTTACCGGGGCTCCGGCTCGAAGTGCAGGAGAAGGAACGGGGTTGTTTTTAGTCAGTAAGAGTCTGACACTCCCTTCCGCTTCACCCAAGCGGGAGCAGTCATTCGATGATTTTCCCCCCTTAAAAAAATACCTTGATTATATGGATTGGCTAATGAGTATGAAAGAGTTTCCTAGCTAAATAGTTGGACCTTTAAATCAGCTTCCTTGTCTTTACTGCTAAGGAGTGGAATTTTTTGCCAGAGTCTGTCAAGGTCCGAGTGAATAGGTTGCTTATGGGCAGACGTGCTCCACCGTAGGCCGCATCATCGCTTACCACCAGGCGAGATAGTGGCCAAACGTCTGCCCATCAAATATAAAAAAAATCTTTAAAACAAGTTCTAAATCTTCCAATAAAGTGAATATAAAAACTTTAATTCAGCTTATATGTCGCTATTGCACAAGTGTATACCGAGTTATATAACGAGTTTGACTTCCAAATTAACTAATTACCTAACTAAGGTTTTTATTTTGAATTGTTCTTACGCTATTGGTGAAATAAACCTAACTAAGGTTCTTAATTTGAATTGTTCTTGCGCTATTGGTCAAATAACAATCGGCAACCGCACACAGCAGCATTCTTAATGCTTCTGTGTGCGGTTGCAAATAAACATTTAAATTAAAGATAAAAAATCATTAATTTTACTAATAGTACGCATGCATTTCTGTGATAATTTTGCAAATACATAGGTACTTTGAGGTCATTATTGATTTTATCGGGAACTATCGAATATAAATTATATCAAATCGAAATATCTTGATTGCACGTAATTGTTTTACTTTTTACATTTTTTAATTCTGTAGTACATTCATATACGCGTACTTTAAAATGATAACATCATTTTTATGAGAGTAAATATCATTATATATTTTAGCAGAAATTCGTAAACCAAACAACTGATACATCATTGAAGTATCCTTCTGACCAAACATTAACCAATAACGATAACAAAGAAATTCCTTATAAAACAAACGAAATACCGCAATTATTGAAAGTAGTGATGTGTAAACAATTAACAATTCTATTATTAATGTCTGTTTTGCGTAATTTGACAATATATACAGTATGATTCAATCAATCAAGCGTAGTGTTGCGCAAGTAACCTGCGCCAGCGTCTGTTGTGCTCCAGTGCTTTAGTGCACATAATATCGGTAACATCGGTGGTATCGGTATAATCGGCAACATGAAGTAATGTTCAGTCACTCCTTTTACTCATCAGACGTGCTGGTCAGTGCAATGATGCACTTGTGGTTCGCAAAATATTGTCATGATACATTCGATTTTAGAGACGTTGATTCCCGATATGTGGATGCTTTCATTGTAAGTTCATTTTTATTGTTATGTTAATAGAATTGATAATTCATTATTATAATTTTGTAGTTTGATTAGAAGCACATAGAGTTGTATTCGTAGAACTAAAGTGATAAGAGATGAAACTATCTTGTTCTTAGTATTAAACTTTTGTATGCCTATTGTGCCTGTCAATTAAATCTATGACATTGAGTAATAGATTCTGATAAAAAATATGATAGACAAATAGATAAGCATCTTCTTCGTAATAGTTAAGTTATCTGTACTGTCTATGTAACATCTATCCTAGCAAACGTCGTCTAAGTTCTTAACGTTAAAGAATCTTAGTCTTCCTTGTGTACGAAAGTAAAATTATAAATATACTTTAAGCAGCATTTTAGAGAAATCGAATAAAATCTTTATACTTGCAGGAACTGTTGTGCAATCGACGTTATAATTAATATCTGTAAATATAACAAATATTTAAAATTAACAAAACGTTATTATATTTATCTGGACAAAATGTAGGTACTGTCCTCATGAGGTGTTTAAATGTATTTCTTTATGTATTATTTAGTGGAAGTGCATCGCTAAAGATAAAAAGCTTGTTAAGTTTGTCTTTTGATACTTTCAGAGTTTCCAAAAAACAAACATTGAAACATCTTAAAGAACGTTTCTGTGACAGTTTGTGTAGATGGTCAATCTGATTTATATACAATTTACTTCGATTCATCTTCTACACTGTCTGTCTTATTTCCAATTCACATATTATCACTACAAAAGCAAGTAACACTAAATAATTTAAATTGTTTATCTTACCAGGAGCGCATGTACGAGTTGGAGAGACGCGAAGCAGAGCTGGCTTTGGAGGAGAAGAAGCAGTTGGAAGCAAAGAGGACGTTACTCCAAGAGGCAGCGAGGAAGCAGGACGAGCCTGTGGATGACAGCAAGCTGGTGGAAGCCATGTTTGACTTCCTACCTGACTCCAGTAGTGAGGCACCAGCTCCCAAGGACACATCCGTCTTCAGCGACCTTCCACAACCCAGGGCTGATCAACAGGAGGTAAATAGCTATTTGTTATAAAGCTAGTAAGAACCGTAACTTAAATTCATCACCAAAAGTGGCTAATTGTGTTCATTTGAAGTACCTATATGATACTATTCAGAGTTAGGGAGAGGCTTTTGCTTAACTTTAAAATATAGTCATTAGTCGTTTAAAAATCTTAGCGTACGAGTCTATCTAGTTTATTATTACTTTTCATGTACAATGATGTCGAAATAACTGTGTATGAACTATTATTTGTTCCCTGATTGTGCTTTGTCACTTTTTTCCTTTCTAATCTACTAGTAAAGAAGTACCTAGAAATATTTGTATCGAAAAATTGCACCCAAACCTTATCGTAGTAGATTTTCGAGCAATTTCAAAAATATGTCAATTAGGTACATATCTAAAAGACGTCATTGCACTATGCCCCCGCATTTATTATTATTTAATATTTATCTTATGCCTATAATCACTATCGTAAGTTAACGTAGGTATAAGATTGAAATCTCAAAATTCGATAAATATGCTCCATATGCGTTGTTATCAAACTTAATATCATCTTTATGTAGATAACTTTAAAATGTAAATTGAATGTAATGATTGCCCAAAGGTCTGAATTCCATAATCCCTGGGAATCATTTTTTACATTTTTGTTCCTGATCATTTAAACACTAGATCTCTAAAGTCTCTAAAAAAATAACATGATGTTCTAAAAACATTAACAGAATTAATTTGTTATTACATTAGGTTATTGTGGACATATTCTAAAAACAAACGCATTCTCATACAGATGGTGACACCAATGCAAACCACATCAGAGGACGAGGAAGATTTGTCGGAGTTCAAGTTCCAGAAGTTCGCAGCAACATATTTCCAAGGGAACGTCACTCATCAGTACTCGAGGAAACCACTCAAACATCCACTATTGCCTCTACACACGCAAGGAGACCAGCTGGTGAGTAACAAACAAGTTGTATAATATCTACGATAAATAAGTAACGCATAAATCAATTGCAAAATGCCTAAACAGATACACGTTTATGTGCTCTACATTAGTAGCTACTGACTTATAACGCTGCTAAAACACTTGTTATCAATTAAATCTATATTGATCATAAATCTAATGGTTTTTTTTTGCAGGCGGCTCAAGCACTATGGATCACAATACTGCGATTCACTGGGGACCTTCCCGAGCCAAGATACCACACTATGGACAGAGACAACACATCAGTCATGTCTAAAGTGACTGCAACCCTCGGCAGGAACTTCATCAGGTCCAAGGAGTTCCAAGAAGCTCAGATGATGGGCGTAGACCCTGACGCCTATCTGAACAAACAGAAGCCGAGGTCTATCAGACACAAGCTTGTTTCTCTGACACTGAAGAGAAAGAACAAGCTAGGAGAAGACGTCAGGAGAAAATTACAGGTCAGTTTAAAAAAGTACTTAGGTAGATATGACTTCATTAAGAGTTGAACGATAATAATCATCCTTATGCATGTTTTCCAGGATGAGGAGTACACAGCAGACAGCTACCAGTCCTGGCTAGAATCACGCCCAACATCAAATCTAGAAAAATTACATTTCATTATTGGGCATGGTATTCTACGGGCTGAGTTGAGAGACGAAATATATTGTCAGATCTGCAAACAGCTGACAAACAATCCTTCGAAATCTTCTCATGCTAGAGGATGGATTTTACTTTCGTTGTGTGTTGGATGTTTTGCTCCTAGTGAAAAGTTCGTGAATTACCTGCGAGCTTTCATCAGGGAAGGCCCTCCTGGATACGCTCCATATTGTGAAGACCGTTTGAAACGGACATTTAACAATGGCACCAGGAATCAACCACCCTCATGGTTAGAACTTCAAGCAACTAAATCGAAAAAGCCTATAATGTTACCAATAACATTTATGGACGGCAACACGAAGACCTTGTTAGCAGATTCAGCAACAACAGCGAGAGAACTGTGCAATCAGCTATCTGATAAAATTGGCCTAGAGATCAATTCGGTTTCTCGCTGTACATTGCTCTGTTCGATAAGGTCAGTTCACTCGGTAGTGGAGGAGATCACGTAATGGACGCAATATCACAGTGCGAACAATACGCTAAAGAACAAGGTGCTCAAGAACGAAACGCGCCATGGAGGTTATTCTTTAGAAAAGAAATATTCGCGCCATGGCACGACCCTACGGAAGACCAAGTAGCTACGAATCTCATCTACCAGCAAGTGGTTCGGGGTGTTAAATTTGGTGAATATAGATGTGATAAAGAAGAAGACCTAGCAATGATAGCTGCTCAACAGTATTACATCGAATACGGCCAAGACATGAATACCGAACGGCTATACACGCTCCTGCCAAATTACATACCCGATTATTGTCTAACTGGTGTTGAAAAAGCGGTTGATCGGTGGGGTGCTCTAGTAGTGCAAGCGTATAAAAAGAGTTATTATGTAAAAGAAAAAGTTCCTGCTTATAGAGTGAAAGAAGACGTAGTGAGTTACGCGAAGTTCAAGTGGCCTCTATTGTTCTCTCGATTTTACGAAGCTTATAGAAATTCTGGGCCCAACTTACCCAAGAATGATGTTATAATTGCCGTCAATTGGACCGGAGTGTACGTCGTGGATGATCAGGAACAAGTTTTGTTAGAATTGTCGTTCCCGGAGATCACTACTGTTTCAAGTCAGAAAACAAACAAAGTATTCACACAGACGTTCAGTCTCTCTACTGTTCGTGGCGAAGAGTTTACGTTCCAAAGCCCGAACGCTGAAGACATTCGAGATCTAGTGGTGTATTTCCTAGAAGGATTGAAAAAGCGTTCTAAGTTTGTAATAGCTCTACAAGATTACAAAGCACCAGGTGAGGGCTCCAGTTTCTTAACTTTCAATAAAGGAGATCTGATTATTTTAGAAGAAGACAGCACAGGAGAATCTGTTCTAAACAATGGCTGGTGCATCGGTCGCTGTGAGAGAACAATGGAACGAGGTGACTTCCCTGCGGAGACGGTCTACGTATTACCAGCACTAACTAAACCACCTCCAGATATATTGACGCTGTTCTGTCAAGAAGGTGCATCGCATGGTCGTCGTGCACCTACGGCCACGTACAATGGAACAGAAATTAAAGACAAACCGCACACGTTATTAGAATACGCTATGGACCACTTCAGATTGCCACCGAAACGTACCGTATCCAAGGCCCTCACACTTTCCACCGCCAAAAGAGGAGGTGCTGAAGAGCTTTGGAGACACTCTAGAGAACCGGTAAAGCAGCCTCTGTTGAAGAAATTGCAAGCGAAGGAAGAGTTGGCCGAAGAAGCCTGTTTCGCATTCACTGCTATTCTGAAATACATGGGTGACCTGCCTTCAAAGCGTCCTCGTATTGGTAATGAATACACAGATCATATTTTCGACGGTCCTCTAAAACACGAAATATTGCGGGACGAGATTTATTGCCAAATTATGAAACAACTGACTGACAACCGGAATAGAATGTCGGAAGAACGAGGTTGGGAACTAATGTGGCTGGCCACAGGGTTGTTTGCATGCAGTCAGGGACTGCTTAGGGAATTAACTTTATTCTTGAGAACTAGAAGATATCCAATAGCTCAAGATTCACTCCAAAGACTTCAAAAGACTTTAAGGAATGGCCAGAGGAAATATCCGCCGCACCAGGTGGAGGTAGAAGCTATACAGCACAAGACTACTCAGATATTCCACAAGGTGTATTTCCCTGACGACACTGACGAAGCATTTGAAGTGGACTCGTCCACTAGAGCAAAGGACTTCTGTCAGAATATAGCTCAGAGACTGAATCTCAGATCTAGTGAAGGCTTTAGTTTATTCGTTAAGATAGCTGATAAGGTGATATCAGTCCCTGAGGGTGACTTCTTCTTTGACTTCGTGCGGCACCTCACGGACTGGATCAAGAAGGCGCGACCTACTCGCGACGGCATTACTCCGCAGTTCACATACCAGGTATTGTTTAATGTTTCGTAGTGTTTGAGTCTTGCAAATGTAGGTACCTACCTAATCAATATTCTAACAATGGTCTATTGTAATAAATTGTACTTACATATCTCCATGTTCTCAGGTGTTCTTCATGAAGAAGTTATGGACGAACACAGTTCCTGGTAAGGACCGGGCGGCAGACGTGATCTTCCACTTCCACCAGGAGTTGCCGAAGTTGCTGCGCGGGTACCATCGCTGCGGCAGGGACGAGGCTGCAAGACTCGCTGCACTCGCCTACCGCGCTCGCTTCGGAGATAACAAACAGGAGTTACAGGCAATACCGTAAGTATATTTAGTTATTTTTGGAATTATTTTGTTAGAAATTTTGCCTATTTATAATTTGTAGGTCTAATGTATGCGTGTATGAACACAAAACAAACTACAGATTTCTTGGTACACATTTACGTAAGATAATGCATGTAGATTAGTTTACAATTTTACAAAACACTTAATGTTGATTAGAATTTCATTCGATTCAAATTCGGATACGAACTGATATGAAATATCGGTATCTAAATCAAATCAATACTTCTCCATTAGCTTCCTATGAATATCAGTATCTAGATCAAGATATCAATAAATAAGTACTTAATACAGAGGAAAGAATTAGGTACTTATTAGAAAAATTTGGTTTCCAGGCAAATGCTTCGTGAGCTGATCCCAGCAGATTTGATAAAGATGCAGAGCTCTGCTGACTGGAAGCGGGCGATCGTGGCTTCATACAACACAGATGCTGGCATGACACCTGAAGATGCCAAGATCACTTTCCTGAAGGTTATCTATCGCTGGCCCACGTTCGGATCCGCCTTCTTCGAAGTCAAACAGACGACGGAACCAAATTATCCTGAGCTTCTGCTGATCGCTATTAATAAACATGGAGTGAGCTTGATACATCCCCAGACGAAGGTAAGAAATCAAAGCTTTTGCGAAATTTGATCTGTAATAAAAAAGATGATCATATTACACTCGCCGTCAGGCCCTTGCCTTAAACGCACGCTTGTTTGTTTAAAGAGAAAATCCAGTGTTACTCAATCTTTTTTGAATAATGTTCACCTGCGCTAGTTGTGGTTCTGAGCATACCGACGGCCCGATCTGTGGTGGATGCAATCAACATTATGACTATCAGTGTGCAGGAGTCACAGAAGTTGGTTACCGGAGACTCGGCGACAGTAGGAAGAGTGCTTGGCGCTGCCCAAAATGTAAGTCCGGCTCATCTCCTTCTCAACTGGCTGTATCGCCCCAGCCTAGCCAGCTCGACAAAATGCAGGAGCAGCTTATCAAGATTGCCCTTGATTTGGCTCCATTGGCTGCGTTGGTTGCTGACGTGAAATCCATCAAACTGGAGTTGTCCGGACTCAAGGACTCCATTGAAATGGCACATGACATCATAAACGGTTTCTCCACAAAGGTAAAATCTCTTGAGTCAAAGGTTATCGCGATGGAGAAGATGGCTGAACAAATACCAATCCTCCAGGATAATATTGATAAATTAAACAGTGAATCGCGAGACAGAGACCAATGGGCTAGAGCTAATAATGTCGAGATCATAGGTATACCGCAGAAGAAAGATGAGAATCTGTACGATATAGCACAGAAAATTGGAAACCTTTGCAACATCTCTGTACGAAAAGAAGACATTAATTACATTGCACGTATACCGACTCGCATCCCAAATGTATATAAGCCGATTGTAGTCGCTTTTAACAGTCGCTATACCAAGGAGGAATTTGTGGCTTCGGCGCGTAAAAGTAAATTGCTCAATATTTCCAACATAGGATTCTCAACGACTGCCAGCTTCTACGTCAATGACCACTTGACTCCGACCAATAAGTCACTTCTAAGCAAGGCGAAAGCCCTTGCGAAAGAAAATAACTTCAAATATATTTGGGTGAAACACTGCAAGATCATGGCAAGAGGATCGGATACTGCATACATTTTTTATAAAATGCGAAAAAGACCTTTTAAAACTCACAAATCAACAAGTTTAGTCATCTCACATCTATCAATTACGTATGTATACAGTTTGAGAACCATATGTAAATCTAACTTACCTTCTAATATTCACTTTTATTTTATCTTTCGAATAAGTCACGGTGGATTAGTCGATCAACAAGTTGAGCGTAACTATTTACTGCAGCGCATGCAGTTTACTATTCACTCACGAGTATTATACCGCGCCATATGTGCCATTATTGCTTGCGCCCGCGTCACCGTAGACTCGAGCCGCTTATCTGTCGAGCGCTTTTTGCTGTTTACCGTCCTCTTTAATAACTATTGTGTAGTTCGTGTAGAACTTTATTCAATTCTATTTAATTTACGCGTATTATTTTTTGTGCTCACGCTAATTTGTGGTTGTGGTGTTGCATTTAAATACTGTTGTATGGAATGTAGGTCTCAGATAATTATGTACTACTTCTGTTTTGGGACGCATTATATCATTTTGTTTATAATCCTAATATTAGAATTTTATCATTTTTATTTTCTCATCACTAAATATGGCTCATTTGAATTATATTACCAAAATACACGGGGTTTGCGAACGAAGACTCATACATTCAAACGTAATGTACTCTTGAATTCTTATGACGTTATTGCTATTACAGAAACTTGGTTGTTAGATAGTATTAGCGATAGTGAACTATTTGGTAGTGAGTACTTAGTTTGGCGTAGGGACAGAGATTATATTAAAACGAAACAAACCCTAGGTGGTGGTGTGATGTTGGCTGTGCGACGTGAACTATCAGTTGAAGTTCGTTCTGACTGGTCATCATCAGCCGAAGATCTCTGGGTTACAATTATCTTCAAAAAAAAGGACCGCACTATACAGAAGCTTAACATTTGTATTATCTACCTCTGCAAGGAAAATTTGGGGAACTCTTACGAGACACAGTTACGAAATTTCTCTAACAATCTATCAGTTATTGTAAATTCAAACCCCGACGACTCTTTTATAGTACTGGGTGATTTTAACATGCCCAATGTAGAATGGTCAAGTGTTGGCAACTGTTTGCAGCCTTCATGTATAACAGGTGAATCCCAAACATACTTTTTTGATATTCTTTCCGAGTGTAACCTAATTCAGTACAATAACTGTTGTAATAAGTCCAAGGGAAGAATCTTGGATTTAGTTTTATCGAATGTGGATTTAAGTATAAGCGCCTGTCTCAACCCTCTTATTCCTGAAGATGACCATCATAAATCTCTCGATATTGTACTTAGTCGCCTTTGTGATGTACCATTAAAACCTAAACCCCGCACAAAACTGTATTACGAGTCAGGGGATTACGATAATATTAATAGGTTACTGAACGAGTACGCATGGGAAGATCACCTGCACTGTAATTCATTAGATGACGCGGTTGATATTTTTTATAACTACCTTCATAGTTTAATTACTGAGTATATACCTCACAAAACTATTTATCCTTCAAACTACCCACCATGGTATAACTCAAGTTTAAAAAAAGTTCTTAAAGAAAAATATAAATACCTTCGTAAATACCGCACTTACGGCAACGCGTCCGATTACAATTCGTATATATTACTTCGCGCCAGAGCCAAAGCAATTGAGGAAGAGTGTTATAAATCATACATTTCCAGAACTGAAGCATCTATCATTAAAAATCCAAAAATGTTTTGGTCCTTCATAAAAGCGAACAAAAAAGGCACTAACACTCTCCCGGCCAGCGTGTCATTTAATGGTCGTTGCTATAGCACAAATGATGAAATCAGTGATGCTTTCGCAGAGTACTTCCAGTCCAATTTCCTTTCCACTTCTGACCGAAACTCGCCTACCCCAAATTCTTTTAATGTTCCCACTGACTCTGCACTAAGCATAGGCGAGATTGAAATAAATTCAAACCACCTGCTTAGGCTTTTAGAATCTTTGGATCTCAATAAAGGCGCGGGTCCCGATAACATACCGCCACTATTTATTGTCAAGTGTGCCAAAGGATTAGTTAAGCCTCTAACGATTATTTTCAAGCGTTCTGTTACGGAAGGAATTGTCCCCAGTATATGGAAGTACGCGTACATAACACCTGTACACAAAAGTGGGAATAAGAGTAGCATCAATAATTACAGACCCATATCTAAATTATGCCTGTTTGGTAAAATACTTGAACGCATTATCTACACGCAGGTTTACAGCACTTTTTCTTCAACATTTATTCCCCAACAACACGGATTTCTTAAAAATCGTTCGACCACTACCAACCTGCTGTCCTTTATCGACTTCGCTACAACGAGTATGGACGATGGAGGGCAGGTAGATTGTATTTTTACTGACTATAGTAAATGTTTTGACCGTATTGACCATACTATCCTTTTGCAAAAAATTTTTCATGCAGGTATTCATGGTAATTATACCGGTGGATAACATCTTACATAAGGAATCGTTCCCAGGCTGTTGTAGTTAATGGTGTTGCGTCAAAGCGGTATGTAGTCCCTTCAGGAGTGCCCCAGGGATCGCTGCTTGGGCCCTTACTATTTAATATCTTCATAAACGATATTCACACGTGCTTTCAAAATTCGTTATTCCTACTTTACGCAGACGATATGAAGATCTTCAAACGCATAAACAATCTCGGAGACTGCTACTGTTTGCAACATGATCTCGATAGGCTTGAAAAGTATTGTCAGTTAAATAATCTGGAACTCAATGTGTCAAAATGTTACGCAATTACATTAACTCGCAAAGCCAACATCATATCCCATACATATATTTTAAAGAATGACCAGCTGAAACGAGTAGATTACATACGAGACTTGGGTGTGATACATGATTCCAAACTTACCTATGAGAGGCACGTAGATTACATAGTAAATAAAGCTAACAAAGCCATGGGGTTCTTAAAAAGGTCTTGTTCCCAGTTTACAAATATCAAAATAATTAAAATCTTATACTGTTCTTTTGTCCGTAGCTCACTTGAGTACTGTTCGCAGGTTTGGAATCCCATGTATGACATCTGTATCTCAAGACTGGAATCTATTCAACGAAACTTTACGCGATACCTGCAATATAAGTGTAAAACCCACGACCATAATTATGATTTGAGATGCAAAAGGTACCACTTACTGCCACTTAAGGAAAGGAGGAATATATCAGATATCTCTTTCCTCGTCAAGTTGGCACAATCTTATATCGACGCCCCGGAACTTTTGTCCAAGATTAATTTACGCGCTCCCACTAGATCTTCTAGAACACCCTTCCTTCTTCTAAACATTCCCCGTTGTCACACTAATTACAGACAGAACTCATTCTTTATAAGATGCGCAAAGTCCTACAATAATCTGGTCGACTTTTCTGAACTGGACTTGTTCGTTACTAAGCCTCATGTATTCAATCGATTACTTACAAAACATTGGTTCGATAGCTGTTCCACTTAGCACTGCAAGAATTAATATTATTGTATTTGCCATAATTCCTAATTACCTCTTTATTCATTTTTTCTCTTTCAAGCGTGTTCTTCATAGATAACTAAATGCGAAAACATGTAATTGGTTATTAGTTGCGTAAATTGTGTTTTTGTTAGCTGTTAATACTGTATGTTTTCCGATGTAAATAAAATAAAATAAAATAAAATATTAGTAGGTACCTAAGTACTTACCTTATATATCATAAATTTTAAACCATATAATTGATTGGACTTAATGCGAATCGATTCGAATCAGGAATTTTATTTACAAGTTTAAAGTAGGGTTCAAACTTAACAGTGTATTAAGAGTAGGTACACGAAAATCATGTAATATAATTATAATAGTACTTAATTACTCTATTTTCTTTTCCAGGACATCCTAGTAACTCATCCATTCACGAGAATATCAAACTGGTCATCTGGCAACACTTACTTCCACATGACAATTGGAAACCTCGTGCGGGGCTCGAAGCTATTGTGTGAGACCTCACTGGGGTACAAGATGGACGACCTGCTGACGTCATACATCTCCCTCATGCTCACAAACATGAACAAGCAGCGCTCCGTCCGCGTCAAGTAACCATGGCAACGTGCCTGATGACGTCATCATTGATCATAGTCAAACAATGCGAATATAGATTTTATAGTAATGCTAACGAGACGAGATAAAATGTGACCGTTTAGACTAATATGTGCTGTATTTGCTTAGACTTTTAGTCGTTATTTAAATGACAAAATTTTAAATAATTAGTAGACAAATGATAATGAACTTTGTTATTATGTCGATAAAGTTTCTAATTAATTATCTCGTCTCGTTATGCTCTACTTTAGACACAATTATTTTTATCTGCTTACCGTTAAGTTCACACGCTTCCCAGCGGTATATTTAACTTAACATAGAATTCAGCATTTACATGCAGTCAGAACGAATGCTTACATTAAGTGTGTACAGTGTACCTGATATATTTTATTGTATTTGAATGTTAGAAAGAAGTACCTTACAGTTAAAATATATCGGGTGGACTGTACCCCGTCACAAGCGCTGTATCATTGTAGATAAACTTGATGCACAATTTTTGTGATCGCGTTACTTTTGTTACGTTTGCATTAAACAAAATCTAATGTAGAATAAATATATCCGTCCGTACATTAAGATCGAAGTATATCTAGATATTAAACGATGTTACTGATATTCCAAATCCATACTGTTATAGTTTTTAAGTACAACGACCTAAGTTTAGGTGTTCGGTCTATATAATGTACTCTACAATGGAAACGGCTAACAGATACGTATCTTAATTAAAACCTAGTTATTAGATATTCGTATTTATTAAAAACGTCTTTAAGTCTAAATTGAAATAAATTTATTTTATATATTTTGTATTTATTCGGTTGTAATATTAACTAATAGTCCAAAAGATCTGTTACATTTATATTTAGGTGTTCGGTAACAAAACATGGTATGAAATTATGTAGTGTCGCTAATAAATGCCTTAAAAAGTGCCTTGCTTGCAGTGCTACTCGCATACGAAGCAATATTTACCGTACAGAAATCAAATATACTCGAAAATAAGATTTATCGTTGTTCGGAGTTTAATGAAATAGTGCTTTAATGCAATCGAAACAAGACGGTTAGTATATTACTCGATTTTTCTCATATGACATTTGCAATCGATTGACAAGATTTAACATTTGGAAAATGACTTCAACATCGATACAAATCGAGCAATATATTGCCGTCGCATTGACTAGATGTTTATATATTTATCGTTTAGCATAACATCTATATACAATACATAGGTAACATCAATGTATTTATTTAATAGGTAAAGGAATTATATAATAGGTATCGTGTTAAATTGATTGTCAGTTTCATGCCATGAGTCCGGTGACAATTAAATTATGTTTGTTTTATTAATATCGCTTTAAAGTAAAAGTTGCATTTGTGAGTGGTTGTAAACATGAGTCACAATGATATATTTTGTGTTTTATTTTATTCTCAACACCTCAACTTTCCCCATTCCTTTCTATTAATTAAAATATAGCAACGTAATGTTCGTGGATTGGAAAAGATAATGCAACATGTCAATTACCATTCTGCAAACTGCAGGAGCAGTCGTAAACTAAATAAAATGCATTTGTGCCTATCTTTATTTTTTTATGGCATAAGCCGGTAAACGAGCAGACGGATCACCTGATGGTGAGCAATCGGCGTCGCCCATGGACACCTGGAACACCAGAGGCGTTACAAGTGCGTTACCGGCCTTTTGGATTAGGAATTTGAGGATTTTTGGGGATTCAGGGATTGGGCCTCTAAAAGGGGATAGATTTTAAGAAAGGAAAATACAATAGACGCAATGCCGTAAAATAATATTTACACAAAATATAAATAAATGTGTGTACCTAAAAGTAAATTAACAATATTTAACAATTAGCAAAAGTCAATAAATAATAAGACAGTATGGGCCTATTTTAGCCAAGGGCACTGCCACCCTGTACCTACATCAAGTAGCATACATTGTTATAATTTTAGGTAGAATCTCTGGATTTTAAGATGTTTAATGCAAAATGTTCACTCAGACCCGGAACGAACATTTGTGGATCCTATAATACTTTATGTACCTAAGTACAACCGGCTACAGTAGTAGCCGGTTGTCCAGGCTTGTGAAACGTGTATGCATTCAAACATAGCCTACCGATACTGTATTATGATATACCTTTTTTTAATGTCGGGGGGAACCTTCAAACGCCTTTTGCGCCCTATCTTTTTGAGGAGAAAGACTAGGGAGTGTGGGATTCGTACCTCACTAAAAAAAACCAGCCAGGTGGCCACTCTCAGCACCTGTAAGGGGCACCGGGTCCTCTGAAGAGACCTGCTCCGGAGACCCCACGGTGCTACGTCTGTTACAGCACATCCCTAGGGAGACGTGTGTGTCCCTTGATCATCGCTTTGCACGGCAGCACGTGACCACTGTGATACCGCCTTCCCTGAGTATAATATACCTAGGTATTTTTTTTTTTAAGGGTGGAAAATCATCGAACGACTGCTCTTTATATGGTATAGGTACTAAATTAACGAATTTTTAATGATGATGACATTACGAAAGGATGACCTAGCACACATCAAACACCAGAATGATTCCATGGTTAGAGATAGACCTAGGTATATAGTCCTCCTTAACGATTCGGTAACGGCTACCTTTAATAGCTATCTCCTATCGTGTGCCCTGATGTGACTGACCAGACCGAATTTAGTTTTGAAAATCCGATCACAACTAGAACAGTAAAGTTAGCCGGCAGAGTTGTGCGTGTAAGTATAGGAAGGTTTTTTAAGGGGGGAAACTCATCGAATGACTCCCGCCTGGGTGAGGCGGGAGGGAGTGTCAACTCTTACTGACTAAAAACCACCCCGTTCCTCCTCCTGCGCTTCGAGCCGGAGCTCCGGTAACCCGTTAGGTTCTCCGTGAATATGAATCGGCATCAGCCCTGTTGGGCCCCATCCATGGTGGTCTGACGGCTCTTTGAAGCGCGCGCGAAGTATAGGAAAGTTTAGGTCTGTATCTAGTCGCTGCTTTTCGAACGCTCGTACATTTTCATTGATAGTAGTGCGCCAAGACTGTCTGTGAGAGGTAGACCTATTACCTACCTAACTATGTTGCGAAATTGTAAAATCTACGCTACTCTACTCTAACTAGAGATCTAAAAACGTTAATGACAAATGTGCCGCAAAGCATTTGAAAAGTAAATTGAAATTATAATAACATAATATATCTAGATCTACCTAATAGAAACTATATGCGAGGAAATCAAACAGTGAAGAAGCACTTAACATTTCTTTTATCATATCTACTAGTGACTTCTTCACCTATCTAAACTGTTATTTTGCCATATTAGTAGATACTTACCAATGTATTTTGTCTTCTTCATTATCCTAGTAAACCAACAAACGAACTGCTAGAGTATTAAGTAACGGAGCTAAAGTTAAGTGGGAAATCACAGACAAGGAAAGAGACACGAGAGTCAACTTAGTCATATTAGTCAAACATAAAGTAGGTTTATTTGGGTATTTTTGTAAAGTCAAGTACTTAAATATAGAGAGACATTCAACAGTGTCCAATTATGTCCCAAGCAATTTTTATAAACACACAATTACGTGCTACGTCGCGTCGGGGCGAAGAAACGTAAGTACTTAGATTTTCCCGACGTTCGTTCTAACTTCAAGCGCAATTTTACGTAAAAACTGTTAAAAACGCAGCTCCGAATGAGCAAGAACAATTAAAGTAAAAGCAGACTATTAGAAAAACTGTTAATTAGAACAAACAAAAAATATATATCCGCAATAAAGTCGTGAGAGACTCCCACGGCAGCGCGGCCTATTCACGGAGCCCGAGGAATAATGATGCCTCTATTGTAGTACCAGCAGGAAGTCATTTATCTAACATCAAGAATATGAGTGTTTAGAGCAATTTCGTGTCTGATTTCTCATCCTAAAGTGTGCAATTTTGGTGACCCGCTAGTAGACAACGTGAAATGTCAAAAAACTTGGTAGGTGAATCGGTGACTAAGTATTGTTTGATTGCTTGCTTGTTGTGCAAGTTTCTAGTTTTATAAACGCTGTTTCGTAGTTGGTACCTACACAAATTTTCAAATGGTCGCAAAAACCAGCAATTACCGCTTTGTTAGGAAAATACCGGAATTTACCCAGATATAGGTATATTTAAAAATTGGTACTATGCATAAGTAACAAATGAAATCTCACCGGCTATAAAATGAATAGAAAATATATAATTTCACAATTTTCAGAGAAATCATTGAATATAGGTACCTATAGGCTTATAAATTAGTATACGAGATATCTTGTTTGTATGAAAACGTAGCCTCTTCCATCCAACAGAATAATAAGTTCCGTAAATGTTAAGTTTTAAATAAGATGGTTGGCTTTACAGTCAATAACGAAACAAGCAAAGTTGAACAGCTACGTTCGGTAACGTGGTTACACTTGGGCGTGATCATACAAGCAGGTTATGAACAGCAGATAACAGTCACACTATGTAAAATATAAGTTCAGATATGTTCAGAATGTTGAGACAATGTCGACCACAACAAAGTATTTGAGAGAAAGAAGAACTTAGAATGCTGAAACAGACTAAGTATTTAAAAAAGAGCAAGAAGAGAACCAAACTCGAATAGCAACAACGGTATCATCATCGGGAGAAGATGAGATCCAAGAGATAGCTATCGCCTTTATATATTCAATGTTATATATTTTCACCATGAGAAAATTGAAAAGCTAACAAATAATAGCTACAAAATTAATATGTAACCATTAAAACTGACAACATGCAATACGGTTGCAGTCGCAGCTTATTAATAAAGTTTTCGAATCGAAGATGCATCACAAAAACGGTTTAAAGCTAAATCAAATGTTATTTACAACTTTAATACGGTCTTTCATTAATAAAGAGAACAATAGACACATAGGTACCTACTGGCAATCAATGTGCCATCAAAGAAATTGTCGTTCCGTCTCAGAACTTATTAAGTCAATAATGGCATACCTAGCTTAAATTACTTAAGTAGTTAAGTACTCTCAGACTTATGTAGCGACTTTGTAAGGAAGTTGTTTGTATTAAAAAGTAACTTGAGATTAGACATAAGACTGAGTAGCAGCGCGACAGTCGCCGCGTCGCGGGTCGCGAAATGCTGCTCATGAATATGAGCCTCTAGCATGGCTTGAAACTAGTCGAGTTCCTCGTCAAATTACTACGTGAGTAAGCCGAAAACATAATAATTTATTTAGTATGTCTCACGAAAATTACAATTCAAATATATAGACATTAGAGAGTTTTATCAGATACCTACTACCTAGGTCTCGACTGCAGTTTGCTTTAACTACAGGGAATTAGCCAAAATATGAAGATTTTGCAGCATTAAGACTCGCTAGCAGACTCTTTACAGACTGTAACCGTGTGACCTCAACGTCATGTAAACACAAACAACGCTTGCGTTGTGTTTCGTTACGTGAGTAAGGTTACCGGAGGCCCAATTACCCACCTTCACCAATCTCCCCAATCCCTGAATCCCCAACAATCCTCAAATTTCTAATTCCCAAAAGTCCGGTAACGCACTTGTAACACCTCTGGTGTTCCGCAGGTGTTCATGGGCGACGCCGATTGCTTACCATCTGCTCGATGATCCGTCTGCTCGTTTACCGGCTTATCCCATAAAAACACATAGGGAGTATGTGGCGTTCTATAATTTTCATGTAGCTTTAAATCTTTAGTAGAAAAAATAAGATTTTTTTTAAACGTTGCCCCTCACTATGATTTTCTCCTGTGTCGTGGGTGCGATTACAAACATACAAGTTCACCAACACATGACACCCAGACCCGGAACAACAATCTGTGGATCACACAAAAAGTTGTTTCGTGCGGGAATCGAACCCGCGACACGTTGCGCAGCAGTCAGTTGCCCAACCACCGCGCCAACCGTGCAATCGTTTTTCAATCAAGTGTTTCTTTCAGTGTATTTGTTGCAGTGTGTAGAGGATGTTTTTTTTTAGTATTTGATGGGCCGACGTTTGACCACTATCTCGCTTCGTGATAAGCAATAATGTTTTCGCCTATCGCTGACAACAAAGACGAACTGCCTCTTCGTTTTGCGTCGATATGATCATTATCATGTCGCTTAACCGACTTAAAAAAAGAGGACGTTGAAAGACGGTGTTTTTAAACGTAGTTTATTAAAGATTTTTATTTTCTTTCTTAAACGGCAACAGAGTATAAAAGAATTATTTTTACCACAATATTTCAAAACTTCTTAACACAATGTCTGGTTTAATTTAAAAGTGTCAAATAAAAGCGTTACTTTGTAACAGAAATGAACAATTATTTCATTTAATTTCAATGACACTAATTACTCTTACTAGGTGCACAACTGTTTGTGTTAACAATTGTTAATTTCTGTTCATGAATACCTA